GTCTGTCTGTCTGTCTATCTGTCTATCTATCTATCTATCTATCTATCTATCTATCTATCTATCTATCTGTCCATCTATCTATCTATCTATCATATTAGAATGATTTCTGAAGGATCATGTGACACTGAAGACATAATATATATATATATATATATATACACATACAGTACAAGGTAAATATTACATATATAATTTCCACCGAGGTAAAAGCTGATAGAAGACATGCAAGGCTTTTTATTACAGTTTTTCTCAGTCGCTTTGGTGCATTTCTCACATCACTATTTACATTTGCACAACAGTTAATGCAGTTCTCAAAACAATTAGTACAAACTGCAAAACCTAGTTGATAACCTGCAAAAGCGTGTCACTTGCTCAAAATGGATAGGTCATTCCTCAAAAGCAAGTATTCATGTCAATGAAAGTGTCAGTGTCATCAAGATGAAAAGTCCTGACACCATTGTTTATGAACAAGATAGTCAAATGGCTTTGTCATGTTTTCATTATGACAGTTTACTCTGTCAATGTTTTCCAATGCAAAAAAGTCAGATCTTGGTGACACTACCTGAAAATGCTCAAGACAGCACTATATACTATTTGCACAGCCATTTGAAAAATACAGTAAAGTTACACATTACTGTATTTAGTGAGGTAACTGAGTACAAGACACTGAATATGTATGTTTCACATTTTTACTGCATATGCTCTTTGCAATTCTAATTTGTTCACAGCATTGTGCAAAAGAAAAAATACACCCTTATTTACAACAAACATAAACTCCCTTTGGGTAGAGCTGTGCACAACATTGCAGTACATATTGGAACTGAACGAACTAAACACATAGTACTGTAATCATTCATGCACATCCAGACGTTCCTCTCTGTCTGGCCACATAATTTACATAATTTCACAGCGAATATCATCTCTTGCAATGCAGCGAGGAAAGTATCTCCTCGAGTGGCGAATCCACCCTCTGCAGGACTCTGCTGTGATGTCATCACATGCTGCATCCATGGCCGCTAGCAGGGCCATTTGGGTATGTGGATGCCGGTCATATACCTTCCACCTCCAGGAAGAGAAAAACTCCTCTATTGGATTTAGGAATGGTGAGTAGGGAGGGAGATATGCCACCAGCATCCTATCATGTGCTGCAAACCACTGTCTGACGACATCTGAGTGGTGAAAACGCACATTATCCAAAACAACAACATGCTTGCTCAGATGGTCTCCAGTTAGACCCCTCTCATTCTCAGGGATTATGTCCCTGTAAAGAGTGTCTAAAAAAGTCAGCAGATGTTGTGTGTTGTATGGACCAAGACGGGATATGGGTGAGGACGCCGTTTTCTGAGATGGCTGCACACATAGTAATATTCCCTCCTCGTTGGCCTGGGACATCAATGGTTGCTCTCTGTCCAATGCGATTCCTTCCACGTCTTCTACCTTTTGCCAGATTGAAACCCGCCTCATCAAGGTATATGAATGTGTGCAGCGGTTCCCTGCCCTCCAGCTCCAGTACATGCTTTATTACAGAAGAGGGAGTGAGAAAAACTATAACAACTTTTCCTGTGTAACAATGCATTTTGGACAACATATTGTACAGTATGCACTGTGAATACACATACACAGAACTGTCATGTAAGTGTAGTGCATGACACTACACAAAGTAAACAGTTTACAGCACTGAACATTAGAATATGCATAGAACACATACATGTTTTACCTGTACATACTGGTGACGGAGCTCCTTCACTCTGTCGCTGTTCCGTTCAAATGGCACATTGTACAATTGTTTCATGCGCATTTCATTCCTCCTGAGCACTCTGTCAATTGTAGCGACTGAAACAGATTCAATATTCCCAAAGATGTTGTCATCCTCTATAACAGCACTTTGTATCTCTCTCAACCTTATGGCATTGTTTGCAATCACCATTGCACAAATGGCTTCCTCTTGTTGCGGAGTAAAAAGGGGCCCTCTTCCACCTCTGCAAGGTTGTCTTGCAATCCTGTGTGGTGCAGAGTAAAATTACAGTAAATATGGCAAATCTTTACTGTAACACTACTGTACACTACAATACACTAAATGTGTGATGCAGTAAAGCTGTACGTCTAAATGTAAAATGTACAGTGACAAGTTCTTGTCCCACTGCAAGCTTCATGTATGACACAATGACAGTAGTGCAGTGCAGATTGTTTAGTGCTGAATTACTGTCCATTTATACACACCTGTTCTCCCGACGAAATGTTTGAATAATTGAATTTACAGTGGTTCTCCCAACATTTGGCTGCACCCTTCGACCAGCCTCAGCCATTGTGAGGCCGTGATTGACAACATGATCCACAATTGTAGCCCTGATTTCATCAGGGATCCACCTATGTACTTGGCCTCTTCTTCCTCTTCCCCTGTTTTGTCCCCTTCCCCTTCCTCCCCGCACCCTCACCCCTCTTCCACGAGGCTGACCTTCCATTTCTGTGTCACAGTATTGTAGAAATGGTACACACTATGTCCTGCTTGGTTCATATATGCTTGTAAAGTGGGGGTTTATGGGATTCAGCTCTGACAGTGATTGTAGAGAAGTGGCTTATCATTGGTTGCAACTAATGCTTCACACACCCCTTCTCATCAGTGAAAGTTGAGATTCACCTGAGAGAAATTGTTCAATTTAAGAGACATTTTCAGGAAAAAAAAGATTTAAAAAAATTTGTAAAATTTGCTTGACAGATTTTGACAACTAGTTCAACATTTTTGTATGTAATGACTCAAGCAATGAAATGAGGACTATTAGTTTTATATGGAATGACTATTCAGCATTCACAAGTATAGTTAATTTTGACTGACATGACATAAGCAAATGATAATGTTATAAAACAGCAGAGAGTTGTATGAAAGCAATTGATGCATGTCCAAAAGCATTTGCAATTTGTTCGAAGGAATGAGAAACTGCTACTATGATGTGCACAAATGACTAAATGTTGTGGAGGTTGAACTAACTGTTGTGCAAATGTAAACAGTGATGTGAGAAATGCACCAAAGCGACTGAGAAAAACTGTAATGTTAGTTAAATAACATTATTTAATTAACTAACATGAACAAACAATGAACAATACATTTATTACAGTACTTATTATCTTAAGTTAAGTTAATGAAAATACAGTCGTTCATTGAATTTCATCTACATCACAGCGAATATCATCTCTTGCAATGCAGCGAGGAAAGTATCTCCTCGAGTGGCGAATCCACCCTCTGCAGGACTCTGCTGTGATGTCATCACATGCTGCATCCATGGCCGCTAGCAGGGCCATTTGGGTATGTGGATGCCGGTCATATACCTTCCACCTCCAGGAAGAGAAAAACTCCTCTATTGGATTTAGGAATGGTGAGTAGGGAGGGAGATATGCCACCAGCATCCTATCATGTGCTGCAAACCACTGTCTGACGACATCTGAGTGGTGAAAACGCACATTATCCAAAACAACAACATGCTTGCTCAGATGGTCTCCAGTTAGACCCCTCTCATTCTCAGGGATTATGTCCCTGTAAAGAGTGTCTAAAAAAGTCAGCAGATGTTGTGTGTTGTATGGACCAAGACGGGGGATATGGGTGAGGACGCCGTTTTCTGAGATGGCTGCACACATAGTAATATTCCCTCCTCGTTGGCCTGGGACATCAATGGTTGCTCTCTGTCCAATGCGATTCCTTCCACGTCTTCTACCTTTCGCCAGATTGAAACCTGCCTCATCAAGGTATATGAATGTGTGCAGCGGTTCCCTGCCCTCCAGCTCCAGTACATGCTTTATTACAGAAGAGGGAGTGAGAAAAACTATTAACAACTTTTCCTGTGTAACATAATGCATTTTGGACAACATATTGTACAGTATGCACTGTGAATACACATACACAGAACTGTCATGTAAGTGTAGTGCATGACACTACACAAAGTAAACAGTTTACAGCACTGAACATTAGAATATGCATAGAACACATACATGTTTTACCTGTACATACTGGTGACGGAGCTCCTTCACTCTGTCGCTGTTCCGTTCAAATGGCACATTGTACAATTGTTTCATGCGCATTTCATTCCTCCTGAGCACTCTGTCAATTGTAGCGACTGAAACAGATTCAATATTCCCAAAGATGTTGTCATCCTCTATAACAGCACTTTGTATCTCTCTCAACCTTATGGCATTGTTTGCAATCACCATTGCACAAATGGCTTCCTCTTGTTGCGGAGTAAAAAGGGGCCCTCTTCCACCTCTGCAAGGTTGTCTTGCAATCCTGTGTGGTGCAGAGTAAAATTACAGTAAATATGGCAAATCTTTACTGTAACACTACTGTACACTACAATACACTAAATGTGTGATGCAGTAAAGCTGTACGTCTAAATGTAAAATGTACAGTGACAAGTTCTTGTCCCACTGCAAGCTTCATGTATGACACAATGACAGTAGTGCAGTGCAGATTGTTTAGTGCTGAATTACTGTCCATTTATACACACCTGTTCTCCCGACGAAATGTTTGAATAATTGAATTTACAGTGGTTCTCCCAACATTTGGCTGCACCCTTCGACCAGCCTCAGCCATTGTGAGGCCGTGATTGACAACATGATCCACAATTGTAGCCCTGATTTCATCAGGGATCCGCCTATGTACTTGGCCTCTTCTTCCTCTTTCTCTTCCCCTGTTTTGTCCCATTCCCCTTCCTCCCCGCACCCTCACCCCTCTTCCATGAGGCTGACCTTCCATTTCTGTGTCACAGTATTGTAGAAATGGTACACACTATGTCCTGCTTGGTTCATATATGCTTGTAAAGTGGGGGTTTATGGGATTCAGCTCTGACAGTGATTGTAGAGAAGTGGCTTATCATTGGTTGCAACTAATGCTTCACACACCCCTTCTCATCAGTGAAAGTTGAGATTCACCTGAGAGAAATTGTTCAATTTAGGAGACATTTTCAGGAAAAAAAAGATTTAAAAAAATTTGTAAAATTTGCTTGACAGATTTTGACAACTAGTTCAACATTTTTGTATGTAATGACTCAAGCAATGAAATGAGGACTATTAGTTTTATATGGAATGACTATTCAGCATTCACAAGTATAGTTAATTTTGACTGACATGACATAAGCAAATGATAATGTTATAAAACAGCAGAGAGTTGTATGAAAGCAATTGATGCATGTCCAAAAGCATTTGCAATTTGTTCGAAGGAATGAGAAACTGCTACTATGATGTGCACAAATGACTAAATGTTGTGGAGGTTGAACTAACTGTTGTGCAAATGTAAATAGTGATGTGAGAAATGCACCAAAGCGACTGAGAAAAACTGTATTACAATCACATCCCATCTGTCATAAGTCCACACTTGAACTTGCAAGATTACCTTGAACTTTTCACATTGTTCCCTGCTTTGCCCTTCAGTAAATACTCATTAAAAAAAAATTTTAAAAAAATAAAAATTATCTTCCGTTTCACCCACTGGCTTGGCCATTTGTTATGCAGCTATGTGTTCAAGGTGGCTGTAAGGGAGCATGAAAAAAAGTAGATTTTTGCAGTAGACAGGGATACATCTAATCCTTCTCCCTGTCTTGATTCAAAGGCAGCAGTTGGATGGATGATTCTCTTTACCTGCCTCAATCCACGATGTGCACTTTCACAGCTCCGGCTGTGTAGTATACATGCAGATGTATGCAGGGCTGGACTGGGACAAAAAAATCGGCCCTGGCATTTTTTGGTCCAGGCGGCCCACCACCACTTCGAGAGAGAGATATATACATATATACAGTATATATATATATATATATATATATATATATACTGTATATATGTATATATCTCTCTCTCGAAGTGGTGGTGGGCCGCCTGGACCAAAAAATGCCAGGACCGATTTTTTTGTCCCAGTCCAGCCCTGGTGATGCTAAAACAATTTTAATGACATTGCTTGAAGACACCAGAAAAGCAACATTATATATGAAGAAGCTTGAATTTGCACACCTCTAGGGGGAAAAAAACTGAATTAAAACCCCCCCATCTGTTTCATTTAATAAACAAATGATCACATTGACCAGGTTACTGATTAACATAGCTGTGCTTACGACAAAAACGTGTGCTGCTTCTCTGATCACAAAGCCTCAAATTGAAATTGAATCTTTCTTACTGTTCAAAAAAATGTTGACTGGTAGTGTATGTATGTATGTGTCACACTCAGGGGCTTCATGCAGTCATGATTTTTAAGGGGGCAGAGTGGGGGGGTGGGGTGGGGGCTCGTCATGCTTGTCATGTGACACAGCAGCCACAATAGCACTGTATAACTGATATAGGCTTATGTTTTATTTTATTTTTATTCGAAATATTTCCAAACGTGGTTAACTATATCAGGAAATATCTCGATTTTCAAACATATAAGTAAATGCGTTTTGCACCAGATTGTTATTTGATCTATAATGGGTGATGGGCAAAGTAGAGTAATAGTGTAATCTATTTACTACACATAAAAACACGACTTTTTACTTAAGCACCAGATATGGGTGTCATGCTATAAAATATTTTTAATACGACTGACTTTGTATTTAATGTGAATTTAATAACAAAATTGTAAGTTACTAACATTTTCACTTCAGACTAGCCAGAGTTCCGGCACTCTCAAAAACTCCCATTTAAATCACTGAAGCTGTTTACACTGTGAAATGAATAGCTTACATTCGCACTCACATCTGCGCAGTCCAGCGAGCTAGTAAACAAAACAACGCGTTCAGCGATGACTCATCTGAACGTCTCTGATTGGCCATTGCATTCATAAGCTCAACGGAATCGTGTGTGATTGGTTATAATGCAGCGCTGTACAAACGCGCTGTCTCTGGCTCGGCGCC